GGGTCCCTCCTCTCCCCGGTCTCACCCACCCTCACCTGCAATTTAATAACCCAACAAAATAATGCAATGTACATAGGCATATATAATCACTTTACTGTAGTATATCTATTACATATCAATATACTCTCTCTCTCTTTCTCTCTCTCTCTCTCTCTCTCTCTCTCTCTCTCTCTCTCTTACACTCACATCTTGGAAATGCATTTTGCGAAAGAGATGTTTGTATATAACACAGCGCCAAAAACTGGCCGAAATCGTGCCTCTTAGTTTCCCAGGCCAGGGACATCTGGAAGTCATTAAATCACCATCGGAACCGCTCCGTGCCAGGTTACGCGGGAGTCACTGGCTGCTCCGTTGCGCATCAGCTGCTACAGGCGGGCAGGTCAGGGCGTAATCGACACTTTTGACACTAAATGTCGGCAGTATCCTCACTCTAACCACGAAATATTCCATACTATAAGAAAAGAGCAAGATTCTTCCTCTCAGTCTGCGAAAACCCGATCTCAATGCGACGATATGTGTGCCGATGTTACAGTGTGTGCAAAATGTTCTGAATTTCATCGAATTTAATATGTGTGCTAGCTGCACTTAATTCACCTTTAATTTCCACAAAGTGCTCGCTCAATCTCAACAAATTTTGGTACATGCACTGATGACATATTTGTGATTTACGTGTATAATTTTCATCATTGTTTGAAGAATAGTTCTTGCAATATTAAGTCGCTTACATCTGATTCTCAACCAGTGCTTTGTTAATTGACCCGTCCAATTGTGTATTCTGGATTCTATGCAGTTTTAAGTTCAACACTTCTCCGTTAATTTCATAGATTGTTAGTTCTATGAAAGGCAGACATATGTGTGCTTAATGTGTATAAATTTCATCTTCGTTGATTGAGCCGTGTTACGATATGAGGTAGAATCCATCTGCCCGGGATTCATTTCTTACAGGTTTACTGAAATCTCCCAATGGAACACGGGAGACATTCCTCATTTCTGAATGAACTTTGTCGCGTTTGCGGGTGTAAGAACGTGACTTAAGTACAACAGAGGCTGATAAGAAAGGCTAGGACATGTGAGTCACTGCCAAGGGATATTTTATCATCCAATCATAGTTGACAAAGCGCACTCTATAGGTTTGATTTTCGACTCTCTCAACCAAGCATACTGTCAAATTCATTATGACATCTCACACAGTGCACCTATTCAGAAAACCTCTATTCCAGGAATTCAGACAGCAATAGACACGTACATGAAGCTGTACAGAAGACATTTTCCCAAAAAGAAAATCCACAAACAGCGCAATTTAGAACAACACTGCATTCCATCCATAACCTATGATAACACAACACGGCTTTGGCTTGGGCCCGCTGGGAGAAAAGGAACCGAAAGCTGTCACCAGTCTATTTAAAAAATTGAAAAGTGGGTTCAAGGCATCGTAAACAATACGGAAAAACTACGATACTTTATGAACCAGAGAGCATCTTCACTGCAGGC